CCTCACCCACTGCCCAAATCTGCAAGTGTAACGAAAACTACCCAGTCTGGAACACTTAAGCTCTGCTCGAACAGCCGCTGCATTTCTGGCCCTGTTTTATTATTTGGTCTATTTTTGTAATGCCTGCACAGAACTGGCCAAATGTAAACTATATGACAACATTAAGATTCTAGTATAGACAGTTTAATTTAAAGGGGGATAAACTAATTATATCTGCGGTAAAACACCTGGGTTTGTTTGTTTGTTTGTTTTATCCCCTTGGAGCCAAAGAGCAAGGGCAGAACTTTATACCAATGTTGAACAGGGAGGAGGGGCTGCCAGCTGTCTCATAGGAAGTGCTCCGTAGTCCACACAAGCCACCAGATGTATTGAGTAGGGGCTGTGATTTTTTTTTTTTTTCTTTTTGTGAATTGGAATGTCTTGCTGTCGCTGTTGCTAAAGTCCAGGAAGTTCTCAGGGTGTTGTCAAGTCATTCTGTGAAATGTAGGGGAATCACTGAGTGGAGCTGAGCCAGGTTGAGGGAAAGTGGATGCCACAAAAAGTCCGTTTTCGGCGCTCCTCCACTTCATCTCCCAGAATGGACCAAGCAGACTGAGACTCTAGTCTGAGGATGTGAAATGTGTGTGCATGAACGGATGCTTTTACCACCAACACCATGTCCAGTGTATCTTCCCCTGAAATAGAAAGGACTATGCTATCTTTGTTTTGCTACAGATATAATAGACATTATTTTTTTCCTTTTTTTTGTTTTGAGCAACTCTAAAATGCTGACATTGTATAAAGAGCTTTTGTCTTTTTGTGTTTCATTTGGAGACTGTCTTATAAAGAAATGTTGCAGTGACACCATGGAATCATGTTATGTGAGACCTTTTTATGTTTGCTTATTAAGCATTTAGTAGCTGTCAACTGTCAGCTTTATTTTGAAATTAGGTTTTCAATATCTCAAATAAACCAATTGCAGGGATTACTGCCACTCTTATCTTAATTACAGGCAGACAAATGTTGCACAAATACTTATGGTTTCACAAAATTTGGAATATTAGGTTTGTTTTTGCATTCCACTTTTTGTGCTTTTATTTGGATGTCTTTTATGTAAATAATCTATTAAATTGTACTGTATAAAGACGTTGCTTAAGGAAGTGTGTGTACTTCCGGTTGGGCTGTGGGATTCCAGACGCAGCGGTTTGACAGTAGCGTCCATTTCCAGTGCTGGTCTGTGTACAGTAATGATGGTGCAACATTTGGTTCTTCCAATGGCTTAGAGGACAAGCAGCATTGCTATGCAGTGCAAAAGCCTTTAGAATGACATGTAACACAATTTAAGTTATTCTGTTTTAAAACTGAAATAGTTTTTATAGATTAAAAGTATCAAAGTTTTGCATTCTGGCCACCATTGTTTTAGTGTAGTTGAAAAATCCATTGTGTTGCCTTATTATCAGTGAATTACTTTTAATTTAACCAAAAATCATCCAAGAGTAGATGGTGCTAAGAATGTTTTCAACCCATGTTTTGGGAAGTGAAACTCTGTTATTTCAGCAACATGGTTTGTGTGTTTTGCTTTGTCCCATTAAAATGCTAATGCTTAAGACATCTCACATTTACACTGTATCTTTAAAGCCAGGTTAAACGTGCTAAACCCTTCAATATATAACAATGGAGGCGCTTTTATGTTATTTTATAGGTTTTTACAAGTGCGTTTCTTTCTGGTAAAGAATACTTGTTTCCTCAACTGGAAACGTAAGTTTCGATCCACGTGAACTACAGTTCCCATGAGTCAGCGCTCTGAGAAAGACCACCCTTCCTTCTCCACGTGATCGTGTCTGGCCAATAGGGAGTGTTGTTACAGGCGCAATGCGGTGATCGGGATGTAAGGAAGAATGGCGACGGTTGACGGGGTGTTGGAGGATAGAGTCGAGCTCAATTCGACCAAACAGAAGCGGTAACACAGGTAATTTGAACATTTGGCTTTAAACCACACTGTAAGATCATGTGAACGCCAGGTGTTGTGTTAGCAGCGAGGAGCTGCAGCGTTTGAATAGACGCATGATGCATTTAAATCAGGGTTCATTCAAGTTGTTAGCAATGTAGTTTTAACTAAAGTTTAATTTGGTAAGACAAATATTTTTCAGCTTAAACAATTTATTTTTAGTTGGTTTTCATGCAGATGTTAATAAAGGTCACAGGGTGACTAATGACCAGCAGCAATCAATAGTAGATATAAAAGCAATAAAATATACAGTATAGAAATACTGTAATTTGTTATTGGTATAAATACATGCTACTTTTCAAATTAAGATTTAACATGCAAAATGGGCTAAGTTTATAAAACAGGCATTACACATTAATAAATGAAGATGAAGTAACTTGTTTTACTTGTCAGTGAATCTGCTAATTATTTCCTGGTTAATCAAGAAGTCATAATATTGTCAAAGACAGTATTGCAATGATACCAGTAAATGTTTACCATTTTTTCTTAAAAATGACAATTATTTGATCAAAATGGTTTCTGATTAATCTTTAGTCCACTGACTAATTAACTGATTGTTGCAGCTCACTATGCATCAGTATTAAGATACTATTTAAAGTGTTTAAAATAACAATAGTGATCCAGTAATATTTTGCTACTTTAAATACATCTTCCAAGTTATAAAAATAGAATATTTAAAAATGGAGTAAAATAAACTAAAAATTAAAAACCAACCAAGCACTACTACCCCGTCTATAAAAATTGAAAAACAAATTTCGGTCCAATGTATATGTGAATATATAGAGCTCAGATAAAGTGCAGTTCCTGAGTCTAAAGTGCTGTGTTTTTATTTTGAGCATCCTGTGGCGGTGATGTGATGGAAACAGGTCAAACTCCTCATGAAGTGGGTGACCAGTACAGTTAAGAATCACTTGGGCCACTTGCACCAGTACTAGCCTGTGAACTTTTAAAATCAATGTCCATGCCTTTGGTTTTGCTACATTGCTATCCTTACATAAAACGTTTTACACCAAGACACAATGTCGTCGACAAGTTGTTCATTATTTATCATTTAACAAACTGATTGTTATCACAGGTGCAGGTATTTGTGTACAAGATATTTGTAGTACAAATAGGCCACTATTTCTTGTAACCTTTACAGACATTTCTTTTTCCTCTATCAAGGTTTGACTCTCTTCACTTCCAGGTAGTGTCCAGAAATGGAGGCTGAAATAACCGTGTCCTCTTCATCGAGTGTGATCTCACCCTCTGCTCCTCAGACATCGACCACCAAGGCCAACCTGGTGGCAAAACAGCGAGACAATCGAAAGACCACCACCACAACTCCCGCCTTTCTCTCCAACCTGGGCAGGGCCACTCTGCGGGGGATTCGCAAGTGTCCACAGTGTGGCGTCTACAACGGCACCCGTGGGCTCAGCTGCAAGAACAAGGCCTGTGGGGTGTCCCTCAGGAACGCCTCAGCAGGGGGTAGAAACAGCAAGAAATGT